AGAAGAAGAAGAAGAAGAAGAAGAAGAAGAAGAAGAAGAAGAAGAAGAAGAAGAAGAAGAAGAGAAGAAACAGCAGGGAGTCTCTGGAGCCCACCCCCCACCCCACAAACACACACCATTAAAAATAACCTTATTCCAAACTGTTGTGCCTCTCTACATGTGATCAACATGTATCATTTTTCTCTGCTTTATTTTTTCTGCGGCGCCAATATGCTTTTATTTCTTTTCCTTTTCTTCAGAATTATGGAATTTGTTCATATCATCATATGAATGATATAACAATATTGATCAAATCCGTAGTCATGACAACAAGAGTAATATGATGATGCATGCATGTGAATTAAGTTGATGAAGATAACGATGATCGTGATGACGATGATGATAATGGCGACTTGATAACAACGATGATGATGATGATGATAATGATGATAACAACGGAAATGATGATGTTGGTGGTGAAAATCTCGAAGAATTTGTATACAGAGAAGTGTTAAAAGGCTTTGCAACACATAAGCCGCCATATGATAAAAATGATATATAGGCCTAGATTTACATTATATTAATATGACAAACGTGTTGTGATGTCTGCTGTCTTGTTCAAGTGTAGGAATTACGCAAAAAAGAGAGGGGAAGAACACAAAAGAAAACAAAAATAATAATAATTTTAAAAAATAAAAAAATCGCAATACCCCCCCCCCCCCTTTTTTCCCCCCCACACACACAGATTTCTTTATTTGCCAACAAAGACCAAGACACACAAAGTAAACAAAACAACAGTGCGCAGATTTGCTATGTTTGATGCCAATGATGTTGACTAAAAATAGCTGTGATTTGCGGCAACTATAATATTGGAGAGTATAGTCACGCTCATGTGTGCGTGTGCGTAAGCTGCGGGAATAGACAGTGTGAGTGAACACAGCTCGCCCCAAGAAACGCACGAAAGCAAATTTATTTATGAAAATCTATATTCACGCGCACGCACACACACGCGATCGCGCGCGCGCGCACACACACACACACACACACACACACACAAAGGCTACACACACACACAAAGGCTACACACACACACGTGCGCACACTCACACACACACACACACGATCACGCATTATGTAAGTCTACTTTTCCCAGGTGACGTGTTATAATGTCGGTGCAAGGGTCAAGGGTCAAATCAGTTTTGCTGAGACGGTCTTTCCGAGACCTTTTGAATTTTGCGTATATTACGAGTTCATAGGTATTAGAAATCGTACCAGAATGCATGGACAGCTTTTGGCTTTGTGATCCCTGCACATTTTTATATTCAAATTAAGATGAGAAACATAACGCAGGGTGCCCTGGAACGGGGAGTGTGAATGGCGAGGGTTTCTTTCACTTGTCACTGTTCCTAAAAATATACAGTACGGGGATTCCCAAAATCCAAGCGTTTTCCCCCCTCTCATCACAGAAGATCGCGATTGGGTAAAATTCAAATCGTTTCAGTTTTCAGTTTCTGTCCGAATAAATGTTCTTTGAAAATTCTGCCCCACCACTACCGTTAATTTCATGGGTCCCTAAATTGAATAGATAGATATGTGGGCAGTGACTTAGAAGCATCCTCTATCAAAAGACCTCACAGAATATGCTACTGATACAAATAACAAATTACTCAAGACTAATTCAAAGCACATGATCATACAGGCCTTGGATATAAAATATATGGAATAGATGAAGGCCGAAAACAACATAATCTACATTCTAGATCTAATATTATCAAGGCAGAAAAAAGTGGAAGAAGACGCATGTAATACTTAAATAAAGCCATAGTCAGAATGAAAACATAAGAACGTATTGATAAAACAATTTTCTTTTGAAAAAGAAAAATGCTCATAGGACGCCAACATTTTAAAACAAATTGCTGTAGATCTAGATATCTAGATCTACCTGTAGTTCTATGAAACACGATGCTTCCGTAAAAGACTAGAAAATCATGGTAAACAGGTGAATCAATTACAGAATTTCCTTTCGTAAATTCTAAGAATGGACTGCCATTTTAACTTGGATCTGGAGAAAGTGAAAGACACATTGTATGGAGGAGAATTGTTGAAGCTTCTAAAATAACGGAAAGGGCAGGGTGTAGAATAGATGTCAGAAGATGATATCTCAAGATTTTGGCCTGGACACCCTAACTTAAGGGTAGACCAAGCATCCATTCATGATTATTCAGTTAGAATCAGTACATTTCAATTTTCATTATAAATATCATGTCGGGGTTAACCATCTCGGGTTAATGTAGAAAACAGCCACTTTCCCTCAAATAATAGGCCTAATCTAAATCTAGATCTAGATCTAGGCCTACTCATATTTTACTTACACTGGTGGTGATCGTAGGCTAAATCTAGTCACCAATATGTAAGTCCTTGCTAGACTTCGACTTAGAATTTGAAAGTACCGTGGCGAGGCTGAAAGTGAAAGGTAACCGAACAAAAAACATACATAGGCGTGCATATATATACTGTTTTTTGCACCTACCTTGAAGAAGTCCAGATCTGACCGAAAGCAAGTTGATCTACGATTCTAAATCTAGATATCTAGATTTGTCTAGATCTAAATCTAGATTCTATTTGATAATTCAAAAATCTTGCAAGATAATCTGCGGACGAAGTCGCCTGAACTCTGCCTCCAAACTAAAATATTTAAACCTAAAACTTCTGGTTTAACAATTTCGCGAAGGAAACTCTAAAACTAGAGTCTATCTGTAGGCAGATCTTAACTTAGGCCTAGACTAGTACAAACTTTCGTCGAAAGCTGCTCTCACGTCACGAGTGGTAGCTCTATTCGATTCTACTCCCTTAACTTTGGACGTAAAACCAGAAAATAGGCTTTGGCTTGTTCAAGAAGCAGCTTGACGAGGACGCGCGAGGGATTTTCTAAGAATAGCTGAGCTCCCCAACGGAAAAATCCGAAAACTAAGGGAAGTGACTCCGACTATTGGGCCTAACTCCTGAGGAGTTGGCCAAGCCAAACACTGCAGCGTTCAGCAATGTAGGCCTACCAGGAAGAAGAAAGAGAACGAATGCCCAAACTGTTATCAAGCAGGAAGAAGAAAGGGAACACAAGGTCCGAATGTAAATTTTGATATCAAGCAAAAAGACGAAAGGGAACAAAGTTTAAGGAACAAAGACCTGAATGCGACTCACGAGACAATGACTCATGGAGTCGGCTAGATCTATAGATCTATGAGGAATATAAAAGTTTATTAAGTGAAACTGTACTTTCTTTCACTTTCTGCAAGTGAAAGTTGAACCCAGTGTCAGACGGGTCAGAGTAAGACAAGACTGTGTAACATTTCAAAAGACTGAGCGACCCATATAGGTAAGGCTGTCTTTCTTGTTTCTTTTTATCTATTATTCTTCCATGATCCATGGGTAGATCTAGATCTCTAGGCATTATTTTTGTCTGTCATCTGGGATTCGGCATTATCTGGCCATGGCGATGTGCGCATCTCTTCAGGCCTCTGTGGTTATTCCTTCAAGGAAGTGGTTATTCTCACCCCGGATGAAAATAACCTAGACTTATGTCTCGCTATTCTCACCCCCTCCCTTGTTTTACCAGAAGTTACCCAAGAGGGATCAGGGCTGAGGCTGATACTCCACAGGAACGTGTTGTTGGTGTCCGAATAGATAGAAGGCTGGATCTAGATCTAGATCTAGTCTAGTCACAGTCAGGGTTGTCAAATTGGAGCCAAGTCTAAAAAATTTGGCTCTTTTGGATTGCGTCTGGCCCGGAGAATTTCATTTGGCTCTCGGGCTCTTTTTGGCTCCAAACTCCAAATGTTAAAAAAGAACGGGACAGAAGTGGCAACAAAAAAAGAAAAAGGGTTTAACGCCCTCGCCCATTTGGTCTGAATAATTCACAATCCTTCAATCATCATGCAAGAGCATAAATTTTAATAGTCTCGTGCTCGTGTCTCATTTCGATCATACAAGCTCTCTGCTCCTTGAACTGTAATTCATTGTGTGCAGGCAGAGAGGCCTGCCATCGTAAGTGTGTAAACAACTAAAGGTCCGGCCGGTGGCCGGTGGCCAGTCCCACATCCTTCTCAGTAGTATCGACTCGAGCCTTTTTTTTTACTGGAGAGGCGAAAAATGTTTTACTTTATTATTGATGGCTCCCAACCACATGCAGTAAGCCACCAAGGGCCTTAAAAGTGAATTTATCGGCCTGCGAGAGGTCAGGGGGGAGTCCTTGCCTCATGCCCACACCGGGGTGGGAGCTATTCTCACCGGGAGGGGTGGGGGGGAAGACAACCACCTGTACAAACGGCCACTTTGCATTTACCCCCTTGCATTTTTTCTGCATAATTTGTGTAAAATGGGCACCTGTCCAACGCGACCACGGCCACCATATTTTAACACCCTACCCCTATCACACTAAGCAATAACACCTGTCTTAGAGGGGCACTCTAGTGACTATCCCCATTACGTTTTGTCGTAAATTGTGCACTGGCCCCTGGCGTTGTGGGCGAGCCGTCATAATCCAACCACTTTGTCGTTGTTGTTAGGTAGTCCCTCCAACCGATCATGTTGCGTAGGCCCCTCCCACTGTTGACCAATAGGTACCAATTTTCAGCTGCTAGTGAGATCATGGGATCCCTCATAACCAATAAGCCCCGCCCAGAACTCATACACAAATCGTAAGTGAGATAAGTGGTCACTGTTTACCCAGTCTGTAACAAAGTAACAATGGATGTCAACATGAAGCATCACTTGTTCTCTAAGTGGTGGCGACCCAAGTGTTTGTTTTAACATGGCACTCGCTCTTCCTCGTCTGATACATTTCCTTTTATTGTCACCCTTGTGCAAAATCAGCTACAAAATAAAAATAGCAAACAAAATACAAACCAACAACAACAAAAGCAACAACAGTGTAGCTACTTTCGATTGGGACTTCAGATGGGAATGGTTTGTTTTCTTCATCTTGATCAGTCCTACCTAAGACGGCCACCTGTTTTATACAGCCACTTTTCTCCTTGACAATGAGTGGCTGTCTTACACAGGTTTGACTGTTTCTATTTTTGTCCTGTTTGTTTTCACTGTGATTAGGACTATTAGTTACGATTTGATTCATGTTTTGGCTGAGCAGTTCACATTATATTCTGATTAGAACATTTGTGAGGCATCAAGGTGAAATCGGGCGCTTGTCAAATGAATGAAATAGTCAAACCTGTGTAAGACGGAATCGCAAGGGAGCCAGAAAAAAATTATGTCTTAGACATTTTCCGTCTTAGACAGGGGAATTTAGGGGGAAATGGAAGGGGGAGGGGGGTTCAAAGGCCCTGCCAGATCAAAGATCGCTTGTCCGATACGGAAAGTAGTGGTCAAAACTCCACACCTCTTAATTGCTATCCTGTCTGATAATGACATGCGTCAGTCTTACTTATTGAATTACCACCAGTGCTTGCTTTCATAAGACCACTGTTTGACCTATCTATTAAAAACAGAAATGTTTGAACATCTCCTTTGCTTCCACCCTTAGCCCCACCCTTCGGTGTAGCAAGCACAGTCAACCAATGCCCCCCTCACTGCCATCATGTAACAACGATTCGATTCGAGGAACTCTTTTCTCGGCTGGTGTACGATCAGGGCGGCAGGCATTGGTCAAACTAATTTCACACCCCTGGCTTCTGGGTACCCAGGAAAGTTTCCGTAGTGGCTCACTACTTGAGCACTCTCATGGGCAGTCGTGAGATTTCACACCCCCTCTACACTGACCATCTGCATCGCTCAGGGCTGGAATGATGGGGTAACATCTACCCCCAAATTGCACCCATACTTCCCTTCCTTGCCTAGCGGCATTGCCATGGCGTTAAGTTTAGAGCCGGCGGGACCAAACTTGTGAGTTTTGTTTCAAATCAGGGCTGAGCGGGGGAAAGCATTTCCTGTCTTAGACAGGTGAAACCATCGGAAGGGGGCGGATTTTTCTTTCCGTTTCCGCATTGGACAGGTTTCTTTTTTATACAGGTAATTAAAGAGGGATAAATAAAGGGGGGAGCGGGGAGATTCCGTTAAGACAGGTTCGACTGTAGAAGAAAATGGCATTTTTACTCTAGTGTGGCAATTTTTATCGAATTTTTGTTTCTTGGATCAACACCAACTTTTATATATATATATATGTCCTTTTAAAAGTACATTTCTGTGTGGATTTTAATTTTATTTTAAGTTAAAAAAGTTGATTGAAGGCACAAAAATGTAAGGATTATCAAGCTATGGAAGTCTGCAAACTTTGGCGGCCATTTTCTTGCAAATTTTTTCTCTGAAACCAGGTGATCCATACGTCTTTCTATCACAAGTATTTCGCTTTCTATTTAAGATAGATGGATATTTTAATCATCTTACAAAAGAGAAGTGAACAAACTTTAAAATGATACCATAACTCTACATGCTCAAAGCTTGACGTGCGGCTGATTCCACCACTCATGTCACATTTATTTCCCTTTCTAATGAGGTATAAGTTTCTGTTGCAGCTTAATTTGGCAAGAAATTATGGCCTTAGGTGACTCTATTCTCCATTTCATGATCATGTTTCTCACTCTGGATCAGGACGTAGGCCGCGAACAAGCACTTTCCACCTTTCCCTGTCCTGGGCTAGTCGCTTGATGTCACTCCATGTCTTCCCTTTCCATTTCCGTGACTCTTCTCCAGGTTCCATGTGGTCTTCGTCTTGATATATTACCCTGTGGGTTGCTATTTAACACTTTCCTTGTTATGCAGCTGCTTGACTTCCTGAAAGTGTGTCCAATCCATCGCCAACGTCTTCTTTCCACCTCTCTGATTGGGCTCTGTCTTGTTCTTCTTAATACTTCCTCGTTGGTGACCCTGTCTGTCCGTAAGATCCTCTGTAGCTTCCTCAGACACGTGTTCAAGGAAACCTGGATCCTCTTAATGCACGTCTGAGATGCATTCCAGGTCCCACTTCCATACAACGAGACTGACTTCACATTTGAGTTGAACATTTTCAGCTTTGTCCGTAGTGAGATATCCCTGGTCCTCCAAATCCTGTTCAAAGAAATAAATGCAGTTTGTGCCTTTCCCATGCGGGACTTTATTTCAGCACCTGTTCCTCCCTCTCTGTCAATTATACTCTCAAGATAGCAGAAGGATTCGATATCTTCTAGTGCATTTCCCTTTACTGTGACCTGCTCCTTTCGTAGTGCATCTATCCTAAGGGCTTTTGACTTTTCGGGGTGGATCCTCAATCCAACAGACTCTGATAGGGCGTTTAAAATTGTTGTCTTTGCTTGCATCTGTTCCTGAGTGTGTAACAGAAGCGCCAAGTCATCTGCAAAGTCTAGATCGTTCAACTGTGTCCATGGGGTCCACTGTATGCCTTTTCTGTGTCCTCTAGTGGTTTCCTGCTTTATCCAGTCGATTGCCCAGATAAAGAGGAAAGGTGATAGTGAACATCCCTGTCTCACACCAGTCTTGATGTCAAAACTGTCAATGAGCTGGCCATCATGTATAACCGCGCAGCTTGTCCCTTCGTACATGCTCTCTATGAGGCTAACCAACTTCTGTGGGATTCCGTGATGTCTCAGTATCTTTAATAGTGTTGCTCGGTCTATGCTGTCAAAGGCTTTCTCATAGTCAAGAAAGTTGACGATCAACTGGGAGTTCCACTCCAGGGACTGTTCTACTATGATCCTCAACATAGCAATCTGGTCCATGGTTGACCGGTTTTTCCGAAAACCAGCCTGTTCATCCCGAAGTCTTGGATCCATTGCAGACTTGATTCTCTCCAGTTGAAGACCTTACCTGATACTGAGAGAAGAGTGATTCCTTGGTAGTTGCTGCAGTTGCTGAGATCCCCCTTTTTAGGAAGTTTCACAAGGTATCTTTCTTTCCAATCCTTTGGGAACTTACTCTACTTCCAGATCCTGGTAAACAATGGGAGAAGGAGGTCTGCCGTCCCATTGGCATCTGTTTTTTTGGCCTCAGGTGGAATCTGATCAGGACCGGCCGCTTTACCATTGTTCAGCTTCTTAATGGCATCTAGAGTCTCCTGTTTTGATGGAGCATCACAGCAGATTGGTAAATTATTTCTTGCTGGCAGGATGTTTGGCGGGTTACTCGATGGTGGTCTGTTCAGGAGACTGTTGAAATGGTCTACCCATCGTCTTGACAGAGCTTCCTTTCCAAAAATGGTTTTTCCCTCTTGGTCTTTTACTGTTACTTCTGGTTTCCCATATTTTCCTGAAAGAGTCTTTGTTGTCTGATAAAGGATAATTTTGCATGTGCCCTCCCGCTACTGCCTCCTCTGCCCTCTCTGCCAGCCTGTTAATGAATTCCTCCTTGTCTTTTCTGATACTACGTGTCATAAGAGACAACTAAAGACTAAAGGTGCATAGGTCTGGTCACCCAAAAAGTGTCAGTATGCGGAGGGCCAACTACCCGACCCAGTAAAAACAGAAAGTTATAGAAACACGAACATTCTCCATTTTAACTGACTAAAATTGAATTCTGTCCAAGTACGGAAAATAATTTTGGAGACAAAGGGTTAAATCTGAATTTGTTATTTTGTATGTGCTTTAGAGTGTGCTTCTCTTCTTCAACATGTTGTTGATGATAAATATTTTTATTTCAGAACATGTCAGCATCATCTACTTCTACCATGGATGCAAAGTGTGCCTTTCTGTTCGTGTTGTGCTTCTCAACTGGATTCTGTTTACAATGCCTGGACAATGATGGCAAGGCAGTAGACTGGTTTGTATTGATATAATAGTCTCTTTGTATTTTAGCTGTTGTAACTATTAACTCGTTGTCATAAATCATTATGAAAATATCATGCTTGTTTTGAATGTGGCACGTTCAGCTTCAAGTATTGCAAATTGTCGTAAATGGAGAGTTTATGATATCTGTTGTCTGGATACCCCCCCCCCCCCCCGGGTTGGTGCCACTGACTGAAGTGTTTTTAGGCCATGCCCAAAGGGGGAACATTTCTTGTTCTTATGCACTGTAGAATTGTAAATGGGCCGATCTAACAATGCCATGCTCATAACTGTGCCTGAACTACAACAGGGAACTGCTGCTTTTTCTTTCCTAATCCTTACTATCTGACTATCATCATTTCTCCAATACTTCTTTTGTATGTTTGTCACACTCTTGTGACCCCCTAGTTCCTGGGTGCTTTGAAAGTCGAAACAGACTTTGTGCTGTTTAAGCTAGAGAGGTGAGCACAGTAAGCCTGATTCCCTGTAAAGACTCCTCTGTTGTCATCCACCCCTTGGCGCTCATATGACCTTATGCAGTTGCGAGTGCCATAAAACCTCTACTATAAAAAAAATAAGTGTGTGTGTGTTGTCTGGAAATTTATTTTGTTTTATAGCTTCCCTTTGGCCTCTAGTATGAAGCTGTGTACTCTATAGGATATCTATACTTTGCCCAAATTGGGGGTTGTCTTCTGTACAAATTTGTGTGCACTTACTTTTTGCACATAAAAAGTATCCGTAGCCCTCCATTGTGTCTCAGTTGCTTGGAAAAGATTTAGTGCCAAAAAGTTTAATGCCAATCTGTATCACAAGTATTGAATTCCAGAAATAGTTTGCAAAAAAATGATCAGAGACATTGATCTTCTACCTCTCAATTCTTCCTATTTTGTTGTACAATATATGGTAAAAGAAATCTTAGAGGAATATCAGATATGATTGTTGTGGCAATCATGTACTCTTTTCAAGTAGAATGCTCCTTTTACCAGCATTGCAGACGCCTCAAATGTGAAATGAGGAGAGAAGATCCCTTGAAAAGAAATAAACCAGCTACAACATGCCTTTGGGCCTATATGTTGAAATCTTGAGTGAAGCAGCCTTTTCATTAAAACAGCAATCTGAAATGCAAGTCTGACTGCTGCTTTTCATATCAATTCCATAGACGTATAGCAAATATTTTTAAGCCATGATTTTGCCCAAGTAAATGAATTTGATAATTACTACTCAATATTTGAGAGATTATGATAATGGGATGGAAATTTTCCAGCAAAGCAGGTTCCTTAGACTACTTAGACTGCTTTTCATTTTGTTTGTTCTTATGAAGTGACATAATGAATGATAATGGTAAGTGCTGGATTCAGTATGGCCAAACCTACTCTTTTGTTTTTTTATTTTCTTCAATAATTTAGCTGCCCCAGTTCTGTAGTGATTGAGAATGGTGTATGGAAATATTTATATTGAATAAGTGTGCATCAGTGTATTGACAATATCTGTAGACCACTGAAAAATAGACTTCTTCTAAGCTTGTCATTCTCTTCCTTCTCTTTCTCCTTCCCTCCTTCCATCCCTCCCACCTTTCCTTCCTTCTTCTTTCATTTTTCATTCTGAGACAGGTTTTTGTTTCTTCAATGACAGGTATTCTGTCTACAAGTATCCAAGGGTCCGCTCACCTAAGAGCTTGATTTTCAAAGAAGGACTGGCTTTTGTCTATCTGGATGTGCGAAACCCACAATGGGAATTGTCCAAAACGCCCATTAATGCAACTGGGAATGCAGTTTATAACACACTGCAGCAAATTTATAAGTCAAAGGTTTGTAAATTGTTATATTTTGCAGTTCACAGAATGCTATTGAAAGTTTGTTTTAGGTTTAGGTCTCCTTTCTTTGAAGGTATAAAAGCCCTGAAGGAAAGTTCACCGGCTCAGTAGTAGTCGTTTATTTAGTGCTGAGAATATCAGTACCCTGTTTGGTGCCTATAGCATGCCGTGCATCATACACAGAGATTTAACCAACACACACACACACACACACACACACACACGCGCGCGCGCGCGCGCACACACACACACACACACACACACACACACACACACACACACACACACACCATTGGCCTGCAGACCCGGCATTGAGAAGAATAGGACTGACGTGGTGCTGGCGTGTCGTACGAGGCGACTTAATGGCGAACCAGGCAGTGACTTATGAAACAGAGTCATCCACCCTCTAAGTTGGGGGTTGAGTCACGAGGCTAACAACCTCTCTTGTAAAAAGAACCTGTTACAGAAACACATACAAGCAAAAACTATTGTCTTTGCTTGGCTGGTCGTTGGTCATCTCCGAATGGAGAGTTTATGATGTGAGGCAGTGAAAGCCAAAAGGAAGCTGCTTGGCAGAAGCCTCCACCATCATCCAAGTCCAAGTCTCTTCGGATTGGATTGTGGAACGTTAGGACCCTTTATGAGGCTGGAAAAACTGCACAGACTACACATACTGGGAATCAGCAAGACTCACTGGAACCAGTCTGGACAGAAGCGAATGAAAGAGGGGGAGCTTTTCATTTATTCAGAAAACGACAGTGATGGACCACACAGGGAAGGAGTAGGGATGATCATATCCAAAACAGTCCAAAAGACATTCAGGGGCTGGGAAGCGCATGGTCCAAGGATCATCATGGCCTCATTTGGAACTAAGAAAGAACTTAAGGAAAGATGTGATAGGAAGAAGGTCATAAACATGAACTTCACACAAGTGTATGCCCCAACCAATGATGCAGAAAGGGAGAATAAAGATGACTTCTACAACCACCTGCAGAGGGTGATCGACAAACTTCCAGGTAAGGATATCAATATTGTCATGGGAGACCTAAATGCAAAGGTAGGTTCGGACAATAATCGCTGTGAGGAAATCATGGGCAAACATGGATTAGGAGAGGCAAATGACAACAGAGAAATATTCCAAAACTTCTGTACATTCAACAACTTGGTTATTGGAGGAAGAATCTTCCCTCATAAAAGGATTCATAAGGCCGCTTGGGTCTCCCCGGATGGAACAATGGAAAACCAGATAGATCACTTTTGCATTTCCCAAAAGTTTAGACACTCACTCTCGGATGTCCGAGTCTTACGAGGAGCAGACATCGCATCAGACCACCATTTGATCCTGGAAAGATGAAACTGACACTGAGAAGGTATGCTGAAGTCACATCTGGAAGTCATCAAAAGTATGAAGTGAGCCTTCTGAAAGACCCAGTAAAGAAGAATGAGTTCAAGTTGAAACTGAAGAACAGATTTCAAGCCCTTCAAGGTCTGGTTGAATGTGAAGTAAGCGAACCCTGGGACAAGATAAAAGAGGCAGTAAATACAACTTGCCAGAGCACCCAAGGACCCAAAGACAACACAAGAAATGGATGGATTTCACAGGACTCTCTTGACAAAGTCAAAAGAAGAAGAGAGCTGAAGGCCCAAGTTAACAACAGCTGTACCTGAACTGAGAAACTCGCTGCACAACAAGAGTACACAGAAGTAAATCAGGGGGTAAAGAATTCCATCAAGAAGGACAAGAATACATACCTGAATGGCCTGGCCGAAAAGGCAGAGAAAGTAGCAACAGACGGACACCTGCGGATAGTACATCAGACAACAAGAACTCTTTCATGCAGGTTCAGCAAGCCCACTCTACCAGTGAAAGACAAAGAGGGAAAGACAAGCTACAACCCAGAGGAGCAACTTAACTGATGGAGAGAGCTCTTTAATCAACTTTTGAACAGACCACCTCCTGAAAACCAACCAGAAATTCTTCCAGCCAGAAATGACCTCCCAATAGTTATGGAACCACCTTCGAGAGAGGAAATTGCAGCAACTATAACATCACTGAAGTCCCACAAGGCAGCTGGTCCCGACCATATACCACCGGAAGCTCTTAAGGCAGATAAAGATACATCAGTGGAAATTCTCTATGCTCTATTTGAAATGGTTTGGCAAGAGGCAGAAATATCATCAGACTGGAAGGAAGGCCGCCTAATCATGCTGCTAAAGAAGGGAGACCTCAGCAATTGTAACAACTACAGAGGCATAACACTCCTTTCCGAACCTGGTAAAGTCTTTAACAGGATATTCTTGGAGAGAATGAAGCTGGCAACAGATGAGAAGCTCCGAGGAAACCAGACAGGATTCCGCAAAAACCGATCATGTGTGGACCAGATTATTACTCTGCGCATCATTATTGAGCAATCACTTGAATGGAATTCACCAGTCGTGGTCAACTTCATTGATTATGAAAAGGCATTTGACAGCACGGACATGGAAACTCTATGGAAACTCATGCGGCATTATGGAATACCTGACAAAATCGTCAAGCTTGTGAAGGCCACCTATGATGGAACAAATTGCCAAGTCGTCCACGAAGGACAACTCTCAGAACCATTCCAGGTACAGACAGGAGTGCGACAAGGATGCTTGCTCTCTCCTTTTCTCTTCATACTGGCAATTGACTGGGTCATGAAAGAAACCACCAGAGGCAAGCGTAATGGAACACAGTGGATCCCCTGGCAGCAGCTTGATGACTTGGACTTCGCAGATGACCTTGCACAGCTCTCTCACACACATAGTCAGACGCACGAAAGGACCAAGGAACTCAACAGCCTATCAAAGAGTGTTGGCCTATGTATACAACCGGGCAAGTGGAAAGTAGTGAAGCTGGGAAAAGTTTCAAGCCTTGCTGTGACAGTGGAAGACACTCCCCTGGAAAAAGTGGACTTCTTTACCTACCTTGGTACTGTCATCGATGGTAAAGGTGGAACCGAAGCAGATGTTAAAGCAAGAACGGACAAAGCTAGGTCTGCATTCAATCAATTATCAAAAGTCTAGAAAGCAAGCAACAACTCACTGCACTCCAAGATTGGACTCTTTAACTCCGACGTCAAGTCTGTGCTCCTCTACGGCTGTGAAACTTGGAAGACAACAAAGACAGTACTGAATAAAGTCCAGCCTTTCATCAACAGATGTATGAGGAGTATTCTAAGAATTAAGTGGCAGGATAGAATAAGAAATGAAGAGCTGTATGAAAGGACAGGACACAAGGATATATAGAAGTAGAAATAGGACGAAGAAAGTGGCAATGGATGGGACACACCTTTAAGAAAGCCCAGAGGAAACATCCCAAGAGTCACTGCAGTGGAACCCACAGGGAGCACAAGGCAGGGGTGGGCCACGGGAAACATGTAGGAGATGCGTGGAAAGGGACATGAGAGAGATGAAGCTCACTTGGAACGAGCTTCGAAGGATGGCTCAGGACAGAGATAAATTGAAAGAGTTTGTATGTGGCCTATACCCTGCCTAGGGTGAAAGGCATTGATGATGACACACTCCATATCTCGAATTAAAGATGCTTATCATGACCAGGCTCGAGAAAGTGAAGTGTTAACTTGAAGATAATATAAAAGAGTTAAACTGTGAGTAAGATACAGAGGTACGGGTGAGGGTTATCATTTTGAGTACCGGTATGCCCTTTATGTGTGTGTGTGTGTGTGTGTGTGTGTGTGTGTGTGTGTGTGTGTGTGTGT